ACACTGGAGCTACAATTCAGGTTCCCACCCCCCTGTTGAATTAGTTTAAACCCTCCCGAAGAGCATTAGCAAATTTCCCCCCCAGGATATTGGTACCCCTCTGGTTCAGGTGTAGACCATCCCGTTTGTAGAGGTCCCACCTACCCCAGAATGAGCCCCAATTATCCAGGTATCTGAATCCCTCCCTCCTTCACCATCCCTGTAGCCACGTGTTCAACTGCTCTCTCTCCCTGTTCCTCGCCTCGCTAGCACGTGGCACGGGTAACAAACCAGAGATAACAACTCTGTTTGTTCTAGCTCTAAGCTTCCACCCTAACTCCTTGAATTTCTGCTTTACGTCCCCATCCCTTTTCCTACCTATGTCGTTGGTGCCTATGTGGACCACGACTTGGGGCTGCTCCCCCTCCCCCTTAAGGATCCCGAAAACACGATCCGAGACATCACGGACCCTGGCACCTGGGAGGCAACACACCAACCGCGAGTCTTCTCGTTCCCACAGAATCTCCTATCTGTCCCCCTAACTATGGAGTCCCCAATGACTAATGCTCTCCTCCTCTCCCCCCTTCCCTTCTGAGCAACAGGGATGCGACCTTAGCTTTCACTGTTGCTAGTTGAGATTTAATAAATAAGATCACCTGTGGTACCAGGAAAGATATGACCACAAACTGCTGGGGTTTTGTCACAAAATCCTACAAACACAGTGATGGCCTTCAGGGTGAGTGGTGGAAGTTGTTATATTTATCAATCTGACTCCTGCCTCTCACTACAGGCTGACTCATCAGAGGAACATTGGATGGATGGAGAGTATTTCCCAGTGACACTCACATTTCGGAGATAACATCTTTTTCTTATTTCGAGCTTTGTTGTCTTGCTGCCATCCAAATAGAAACTTGCTTGTGGGGAAGGGAAAAGGAGCAAATTATAGCAAAGTTACCTCAATGCAAACGGTGACTCTCAACTTGAATAACTGTATCGATCATCCCTTCTGTGTTCTTTTTCAGGATTCTGATTCTCCTAGACACTCCACAGCGTCCAACAGTTCCAACCTGAGCAGCCCACCCAGCCCCATCTCGCCCCACAAGCCACAATCACTCTTGCTGGAAAACACAGAGCACGTCAACTGGGAAACATGAGATTGCTCAGTTCTGGAAAGTAATTCTAACAAATCAGCCCTTACTTCTATCTTGCTGCACCCAGTCCTACTCTGCTGTCCAATCTGTGCCGGGCTATTGCTGCAGATCCGTCAAAAAGACACAAGAAGTTTATGGATTTAGGAGCAAGGCCTAACCTTGTAAATCACACACACATATACACATATCCGTATAGACAGATCATGCAGGAGCTTTTGCCTGCTGACCACTTTATGTTTTCCAGTCTCTCTCTCTCTCATAAAAAGAGGAAAAGCAGATCTCTTTCCTCACACAGCAACATTAGTTGCTCTTTTAGCGTCCTTGTGGGCGTAGCTTCCTCTGATTTTTAAGAAATGGGATCGTGGATATAAGTTGTATAACTAACGTTTAAGATGTTGTTTCTCCTTGCAGTTTTGTAGCCAGGTACTCTCTCAAAGAATAGACAGGATTGGGGGAAGGTGGGATGTGGGTGGTGGAATGCAACCTTGATTTTCTATCACTGCTTCAATCTGTCCCAACAAAGTGCCAGCAGGCATTTCTTTCTCTGTAGTAGTGTGATCAGGCTTCTTTTAATTATTATTTTATTTTGCAATAATATGTGTACATCTGCAAACAAATCACCAAACCTTATTTTGCTAAAAGAAAAACACACGAAAAAGTTCTTTTGTGATATAGAATATATATAAAGTATATAAATATATATATATAAAGTTGTGTATAGTTTTACTTGTTGAAATGGCGACTGAAGGAAAGATTACTTTGTGTGTGGTGTCACAGTCCCTGCTGGTAGATTCTTTATATATAGTTCTTCAGTGTAGTACCCAAAATGCAGCTGAAATTTAAAGTTTAAAAAACTGAAGATGTGGAGGCTGAAATGAAAAGCAATAGGCACTGTACTTCAGTAAATAAAGTACAAATTGTAGATGGATATTGATTTATGTTGCATGTTGCAAAATTAAAAACAACTGTGCACTAGTTTAAGGCTCTGCTGAGTTCAGGGGAGATCTGTTGATCCAGTTTGAATAAAGAATGTCCCTTTTTGTAGTCATTCGAAGGCAGTATTTGATTAAACACCCAGATATTAGAGCAACATTATTTTTGTACTCTACGCACAGCTGACTTGTTGGGGAAGGTGGAATTAACAACTGTATCAGCTCCTTATGTCTGCTTTGCCACATCCCTCCCCAGATATATATGTATTGTTAGGCTGAAAACAAACCCTGGAGTTAGACAGCCTGGAACATTGAATGCTTTGATGGTCAGTTTGCTTTTTTGTAAGTAAACATTTCCTTTGTATATTCCTCGAGCCCATCAGTTCCCGCTTTTGTCAACTTCTCCCTACCTTACTTTCTGCACCAGAGGAGGGGAAGAGACGTAAAATTTACTGAGGAAGCTTGAATATGTTAAAGGATGTTTAATGCACAGCCAAGAGCGTAGACAGGTTTGACAGACAGTAAACATTTAGACGCTGGTCAGAGTTGTTGGGCAGCAGGCGCGGGAGCAATATTTATGATATTGAGGGAAGGGGAAAAAAACTAAGGGGAAAGAAAACTCCCTGCATGAAATGACTGGGTAAAAGCAAGGGAATCTGACTGCTGGCTCACTCCCACACTGTTACTGAAGCTCAGAGTCAATTGTGTAAAATAAAAGGTGCTTTTGTTTTTAAATGAATGGTGTGAAATTTGAGATGAATTTAACATATGATTTTAAAAGTGCAAAAAAAAAGTTCTTCCCTAATAGCAGTCACTGTGTGGAACTTTTGTGTCTATGGCAGAAAGGTGTTTAAATGAGATTAAGGTGGGAAAGGTGGTAGTCTTCCTGCTCAAGTTACCATATGTAGATACAACGAAGGCAACATGACAGCTGTCAAACTCTGACTGTGAATTGTAGACACCATTTGTGCAGAGAATTGTGAGCAAGGGGAGGAAGGAGGCATTTACTAGTTATTGGTGTTCCATGGGGGCTGACCTGCCTTTCACTATAGCAATTTCATATCATTTATTTTCCAGAGTTTTTAAGGTTTCTCCCGCACCACCCTTTTGTAAGATTATTGTACAGTTTTGCATGTCTTAGATGTAATCAGTTTTTTTTTAAATCTTTTGGTTTAGGTTAAAGGCTGACTTCACTAAATTAATTGCTTGGCTTTATCACTCCTTTTTGCCCTTAATGTTTTTAGGGGTTAATTTGTAAGAGGAACTATTGCTGATTGTAGATTCTTTTGCACAAGAATATTTAAGGTGGGCAGTCTGACTATTAAAGACCAGCCACCATTATTTTATGTTGGTGACACACACTAAATATTAACCAAGACTTTGATGTATTTCAATAAAACAGGGAACTGTTCCAAATGTGGCTGTTTTTGGATTGTTATTACTTTTAGGGTAAGCTGTGAAAAAAAAGAGGCAGAGTCCAAGTCAAGCATCTCAGTGCCCTTGTTCCTTTGGGTTGGACTGAGAGAGCGGAAATTTTGGTTTGAATAAAGTAACTGAAAATTCAGATCAGTTTGATATGATTTCAAAGTGTCTCTCATTGCAATGCCTCTCTTGAAGGTACTGACTCCTGCTATCACCTCATTACTTCTGTAGGAGCTGAGCTGTGGGGTTTACAACAAAGACATGTTGTCTGCACAAGGGGATGGGAGATTGTGTGTTTATGTTCTCCCTGGAGATGTATTCCTGTGTGCAGACCAGTCTGTACACGCAGTCACAATGAATCAAGTAAGCCAGAAAACAGCTGACTGTGATCATTTATATGGAGGTGTCGGACTGAGGTGAATAAGGTCAGAAATCACACGACACCAGGTTATAGTCAATGGGTTTATATGAAAGCACATGCTTTTGGAGCGAAGCTCCTTCATTATCCGATCAGATAACGAAGGAGCTACGCTGCAAAAGCTTGTGTTTTCAGATAAACCTGTTGGACTATAACCTGGTGTGGTGTGATTTCTGACCTGTGGTCATTTAATGATAGAATCAGATGCAGATTGTGACAGATTGGCCTGACAATTCTTTACAGTGTTTTACTTCTTAGTCTTGGTTTTGGCCTCACTTTGCAGATAGCATGTGAGTTATAAACATCTCTCTGCTATTTAAGAGTAGATATAATTTGTAAAAGAACTTGAACACCTTTCACAGGACTTTCCGAAACACTTGAAGCACAGGGCACTGGTGGCTAATTACAAACAGCAAGCTTCCATAAACTGCAATGTAATTAAAATCATAGAACAGCACAGGAACAAGCCCTTCGGCCCACCATTTCCAATGTGCCATTCTAAACTAATCCCATCTTGCTGTACATTGTCCATATGCCTCAATTCCCTACCTGTTCATGTGTCTACATATTATTTGATCAGTTAAGGACTGAACACTGTTAGATGAGATGAATAAGATAAGTTATGAGGTGATATTAAGCTTGGTAACTAGTGCAGATTAGAGGTGGAAAGACTGACCAGGATGAAGATAGTGTGTCAAAGAGTTTCAAGTCTCATGTAGCAGAGCAGCAGTTGATAGCTGTCAATACATTACAGGGGACTTCTGAAGTTATGGAACAGTGACTGTAGAGGAGGGACAAATCTAAAGACAGTAGGTGAGGCAAATGCAGAAGATCATTGAGTGTTGAGCTAAACATGAAGTGGGAATTGGTCAGAGTGTGGCAATTTATATCTGGCTTGGGACTGATGAGAACAGCGGCTGTTTTCTGTGGTGGTTGTGGAGTCCTGCCCTGAAATCAGTTTGGAGTATTCTAAACAAGTTCAAATATGCAGCACAAAGCTGCCTTCGGGTGATTGTTTAAAAACCATTATTAAAAATAGACTGACAGCATGCATTTACTGGGTAAAAAAGTGAATAAACCTTCAATTTAAGCAAATCTGCAATTTTAAAATTCTTTTGCTTTGGGTGAGGCTCATGTTCAAGGAATGCATTGAAAGAGCAGCCTGATTAAGAACTGGCTGAAACTGGATCCTCTACCTGACTCAGCTAAGTCCTTTCTGTTATGTGCGTATATAAGTAGCTTAGTACGATTTAGCACTTGAGAGTGCAACTTACATTAGATTGCGTGGAGTTATGCATCTCAAGCAGTTTGGTGGAAAGAGATGCTCGGTTGCTTTTGCATAAACAAAGCAGCTGATTGGTGAGTCGGATTGGTGAGTATTTCTAATCTTTAAATGTAAGGTCTTTAGGTCTCCAGTTTTTATCTCATTCTTAGTTTGTAGTGTGCAAACAAAGAGGAAAATCTGTAGAGAGATTCTTCAATTTTGCAAAAAAAATACGTACTAGAGTTTTTTAAAATTCATCCATGGGATAAGGGTGTCACTGGCTAGGCCAGCATGTATTTCCCATCCCTAATTGCCCAGAGGGCAGTTAAGAGTCAACCACATTGCTGTGGATCTGGAGTCACACATAGGCCAGATCAGGTAAGTGAATTAATTCATAACTTAAATAAAATATGACCAAGATGGCAGGTTAGGTGATGTGTTACAGCTGCAACATGTGGGAGCTGCTGGACACCACAGTGAACACATCTTTACCGAATGTTTTCAGCTTGGAGCAACTTCAGATCTGAGTTGAGAAGCTGGAATCTTAAGCTGCAGACATTATACTGTATCAGGGAAGCGGTAAATAACCTAGACATTTCGATCACAGACCATTTGACCATCTCCTACAGCAAAGATAGGTAGGCAATGGCCTAGTGGTATTATCACTAGTCTATTAATCCAGAAACCCAGCTGATGGTCTGGGAACCCAGGTTCAAATCCCACCACAGCAGATGGTGGAATTGGAATTCAAAAAAATGAGTCTGGAATTAAGAATCTACTGATCATCATGAAATCATTGCCAATTGTCAGAAAAACCCATCTCGTTCACTAATGTCCTTCAGGGGAGGAAATCTGCCATCCTCACCTGGTCTGGCCTACATGTGACTCCAGACCCACAGCAAAGTGGTTGACTCTGAACTGGCCTCTGAAATGGCAGATGTATCAATCACTACAAAGACTCAAAGAAATGACACTGGACAGATCACCAGGCATCGATCTAGGCACCGGAAAAGACAACGGCAGAAACAGCCCTGTCGACCCTGCAAAGTCCTCCTCTATAACATCTGGGGGTTAGGGCCAAAATTAGGAGAGCTGTCTCACAGACTAGTTAAACAACAGCCTGACATAGTCATACTCATAGAATCATACCTCCCGGACACCACCATAATCATCCCTGGATATGTCCTGTCCCAGAAGACGGGGCAGCACAGTGGTATACAGTTGGGAGGGTGCTCCTCTAGGAGTCCTCAACATTGACTCCGAACCTTATGAAGTCTCATGGCTTCAGGTTAAACATGGGCAAGGAAACCGACTAATTACCAATTACCATCCTCCCTCAGCTGATGAATCAGTATTCCTCAATGTTGAACAATACTTAGAGGAACCACTGAGGATGGCAAGGGCACAAAATGTACTCTGGGTGGGGGATTTCAATGTCCATCACCAAGAGTGGCTCGGCAGCAGTACTACTGATCAAGCTGGTCGGGTCCTAAAGGACATAGCTGCTAGACTGGGTCTGCGGCAGGTGGTGAGGGAACCAATAAGAGGGAAAAACATACTTGACCTCATCCTTACTAATCTGCCAGCTGACAGTATCAGTAAGAGTGACCACTGCACAGTCCTTGTGGAGACGAAGTCCCGCCTTCACATTGAGAACAACCTCCATTGTGTGTGTGGCACTATCTCCGTGCTAAATAGGACAGACTTTGCACAGATCTAGCAACTGAAGACTGGGCATTCATGAGACGCTGTGGGCCATCAACAGCAGCAAAATTGTATTCCAACACAATCTGTAACCTCATGGCCCGGCATATCCCCCACTCAACCATTACCATCAAGCCAGGGGATCAACCCTGGTTCAACAGAGAGTGCAGGAGGGCATGCCAGGAGCAACACCAGGCATACCTGAAGATGAGGTATCAACCTGGTGAAGCCGCCAAACAGGACTACTTGCACACCAAACAGCAAAAGCAGCAAGTGATAGACAGAGCTAAGCGATCCCACAAACAACAGATCAGATCTAAGCTCTGCAGTCCTGCCACATCCAGTTGTGAATGGTGATGGACAATTAAACAACTCACTGGAGGAGGAGGCTCCACAAATATCCCCATCCTCAATGATGGAAGGGCCCAACACATTAGTGCAAAAGATAAGGCTGAAGCTTTCGCAGCAATCTTCAGCCAGAGGTGTTGAGTGGATGATCCGTCTCGGTCCCCAGCATTACAGATACCAGTCTTCAGCCAATTCGATTCACTCCACGTGATATCAAGAAATGGCTGGAGACACTGGATACTGCAAAGGCTACGGGCCCTGACAACATTCCAGCAATAGTACTGAAGACATGTGCTCCAGAACTTGCCACTCCCCTAGCCGAGTTGTTCCAGTACAGTTACAACACTGGTATCTACCCAACGTGGAAAATTGCCCAAGTATGTCCTGTACACAAAAAGCAGGACGAATCCAACCCGGCCAATTCCTGCCCCATCAGTCTCCTCTCGATCATTAGTAAAGTGATGGAAGGTGTCACTAACAGTGCTGAGCAGCACCTGCTCAGAAATAACCTGCTCAGTGACACCCAGTTTGGGTTCTGCCAGGGCCACTCAGCTCCTGACCTCATTACAGCCTTGGTTCAAACATGGACAAAAGAGCTAAATTCCAGAAGTGAAGTGAGAGTGACAGCCCTTGATATCAAGGCTGCATTCGATCGAGTGTGGCATCAAGGAGACCTAGCAAAACCGGAATCAATGGGTATTGGGGCAAATGCTCCGCTGGTTGGAGTCATACCTGGCACACAGGAAGATGGTCATGGGAGGTAAGTCATCTCAGCTCCAGGACATCTCTGCAGGAGTTCCTCAGGGTAGTGTCCTAGGCCCACCTTCAGCTGCTTCATCAATGACCTTCCCTCCATCATAAGGTCAGAAGTGGAGATGTTCGCGGATGATTGCACAGTGTTCAGCAACATTGACGACTCTTCAGATACTGAAACAGTTCAGGTTCACATGCAACAAGATCTGGACAATATCCAGGTTTGGGCTGACAAGTGGCAAGTGACATTCGCGTCACACAAATGCCAGGCTATGACCATTACCAGTAAGAGACAATCTAACCACCATCCCTTGACATTCAATGGTGCTACCATCACTGAATCCCCCACTATCAACATCCTGGGGGTTACCATTGACCAGAAACTCAATTGGACTCACCACATGAACACAGTGGCTACAAGAGCAGGCCAGAAGCTAGGAATACTACAGCGAGTAACTCATCTCCTGACTCCTCAAAGCCTGTCCACCATCTACAAGGCACAAGTCA